ACTGCAATGAATGGTTGCAATTTTTTTGGTTTCATGCTCATTTGGGTTGTTACTGTTGATCATATAGAGACTTGTCTGGAATCAGACCTTTAAATTGTTTGCCCATACTGATTATTTGGGGAATTCTGTAGGTGTTGTGTTATGAAATCATATCTTCCTTTGTTCATAGGCCAGTAGGTTCTCCATGTGGAACACTGAATAAATAAATTTTGGTTAGATTTATACATTTATTTTTCCATTTCAATTATTTTTATGTTTACTGGAGTCTTTTCCATTGTTTCCACATTGTTTTTCAATATGTTTCTTTGTTTATAGAAATTTAATTTACCTATATTAATGGAGATATGTAAATTCATGCATCAATAAATATTTACAAATGTGTACACACCCATGTAACCAGTGCAGCAACCAAAACATAGACTATTTCTATCATGTCACTTATCAATCATTACTCCACCCCAATCCCAAAATATGGACCCTATGCCTCTTCTTTAAAGGAATTTTTTGACAATTATAGTGAGGTTTATATCTCATTTTCTCGATTTGTTGTACCTACTCAGAAACTTTTCCATTAAATACTTGCTTTGCACACCAACTCTTCATATTTTACTTCATTACTTGTTCTTATTAGTAGAATGATAGACACGGATGAAACAGAAGGGTCTACAGGAGCCCTGGCCATGTGAACTCAGAGATGCAAGGCAATATTAAGGCAATATTACACAGGCAATATTAAGGCATTTTCTCCCAGGAAACCTGTGTTTTGAAGGGAAGGGAGAATATTGAGGACCCTATCAAGGATGGAGAAAGAACGGATGGGTTGAGACCCTTTAGGAGGACTCCAAAAGTAGACTAAGTAGGGTTCCAGATTCTTCTTTGAGGAGATTAAGGTTGGAAGGTGGCACTAGCCTTTGCACTTGTATCTCAAGTGCCATCTTAGTTAACTCTCATTCGTGTTTCAGATGTTAATTCAAATGTTCTTCAGGAAAAATTCCTAAATTGCTGAGACTATATTACAAGCTCTCATAATACTAGGTATCTTTTCTTTAAATCAATTACCATAATAATAATTTTACATTTTAGCTTTGTGTTTATTTGAATAATGCCTATCTCCTCCCTTGGATCCTAATCTCCATACAGGGACAGTGTTTTCGGTTTTTTCTCATTAATGTATCCACAATTCCTAGCATAGTTTCTGGCACATAATCGATGCTTAATAAATACTTGTTGATTGAGTAATGAGTTATTGAATGAATGGATGAAAAAGCATTGACATATAGGATCACACAGTTCTCTTTTCCTTTGTGGTAGAACCTTACACAAAATCAGTTTGTGGGACATTTCCTAAAGACTATTGTAAAAAGTTCCTCATAGTCAAGAGCCAAATACAGGGTAATTTAGAGAACGGAGTTAGAAACTCACATACGTAGAATGTAGAGATCGTCCAGCGTATCTACCAGTGTTATGGTGCAACAAAGAATGCTCCAGACCACAATCTCAGACTGAAGGAGGAGGAGAGACTTTTTTCCTTTCAAAGAGCTCCTGTACCTCTCCAGACCTTTGTATTTATTGCAGGGAAAGGCATGCAAGATCAAAGCAAAGAACATATAGATAGAATGTCTGGAAAGAACATATAGATAAAATATCTGGAATCAGTAAATACATTATTCTAAAGAAATCTAGTTAGTGATATGCAATAAATCCACATTTATTTTGTTATTTCCTTGTTGTTCCTTAAGGCTATAAAGAAAAGGGCAGGGACCCAACATCAGTCACACTCTCATGCATTCCAAAGCCTGCTGTATGCAGCCAGCTGATAAGCATTCATATCCCAAGTCCTGTTTGCAGAATGGCCAGATTTCCACTTTTCTCACAGTCCCTTTACCTAGGGCTTTATTCCTTTTCTAATATCCCCTACATAGAATTGTATGTATGATAGAATCAACTGACACCAGAGGAGATGACAGAGTTTATAGAAAGCTGAGACAAATTTCCAGGGGTTTCTTTCATATTGTATTTTTTTTTTACTCACTTGGAAATGTTTCCACATATACAAAAACTCACACATAAATATACAACCCACACATGGACCCTTACAGTCTTACAAAATTGACTCATGTACAAGATTTTTTCTTTTCCTATTTATCCTGAACTAGAACACTGACTTTGCCTTGTGGGAAAGTGATGGAACCTCTTTAGTAAACTGAAAAATTCCTGCTCATGATCCCATGTCCTATTCTCACCAACCTCCTTTTTCCTACTTCCTTCTTCCTTGATTCTCTTTTCCTCTTCAGTGCAGAATATATCCTTTACCCTACCTCTTCTAAGGTCTCCACCCAGTTCTTTCCCTGTAACCCTCCTCCCTGCTCCCTTACCTCAAAGCTGTCTTCAGATGACTGGTCAATTACTAGAATCAAGTTAGCTTGGAAGACTATTAAGATTTAGAACAGAATTTTGTTTGTAAATGTGTTGGAATTTTTGTGAGGCAATACTTGTGTTGTTAAAGAAAAGTCTGGAGAAATCGGCCTGCCTCTCCTCCCTCTGATCTATCTGTGAGGAGAAAATAAACAGCTATTTTAAAAAATGTAAGTTTTGGATTTGATAGGACTGGGGTATCAGGAAGAATTAAAGTCAAGACCATGTCTAGAAAGGCAATGAAGCAACTTCTTACACCCAGAAATATGAGGATCAAAGAATACTCTGTCAGAAATACAAGAAAGGGGGCTGTGTCCCAAGTAGGTGAAGGGGAATCTTAATCTAGCAATTATTTTTTGATCTTCACTGAGTCCTTAGTTTTCTATTGCTACATAGCAAATTATCACCAACTTCAGTGGATTAAGACAACATAAATTTTTAATCTCAGTTTCTATAAATTGGATGTCTGAGCATGGCATGGCTGTTGTGATAGTTAATTTTATGTGCCAACTTGACTGAGCTAAAGGATGGCAAGATGACTGGTAAAAGATTATTTATGGGTGTGTCTGTGAGGGTGTTTCTGGAAATAGATTAGCATTTGAATCAGCAAATTGAGTAAAGAAGATCAGCTCTCACCATCCCACATGGGACGTGGGTGGGCATCATCCCATCCACTGAGGGCCTGACAGAACAAAAGTGCAGAGGAAAGGTGAATTCTCTGTTTGCTTGAGCCAGGACATCATCTTCTCCTGCCCTCTGACATTCGAGCTCCTGGTTTTTGGGGTCTTTGGATTCTGGGACTTACACCAACCCTCCCCTAACCCCCACCTCTGGCCTTCAGATTTGGACTGATTTATAGCACCTGTTTTCCCAGTTTTCCAGCTTGGAAGATGGAAGATAATGGGGATTTTCGCCCTCCATAATCAAATGAGCCAATTCCCATAATAAATCTCCTCGTCTATCTACGTATCCTATTGGCTCTGTTTCTCTGGAGAATGCTGACTAATACAGCAGGGTTCTTTGCTCAGTGTTTCACAAAGCTGGAATCAAAATGTTGGTTGGGTTGTATCCTAATTAACTGTCTTTCTCCACTAGAGAAAGATATGCTTCCAAGCTCCCTCACATTGTCAGCAGAAATCATTTTCTTGCAGTTGTAGGACTGAGGCCCTGCTGTTTTGCTAGCTGTAGACCAAAATCCACTCTCAGCACCCAGAGGCCACTCTCAGCTCCTTGCCATGTGGCCCCCTTCACAGGCCCTCCCACATTTGGAATCTCTGACTTTAGGAAGGGTCCAATCCCGTTTAAAGGCTCATCTGGTTTTTAGATCAGGGCCACCCAGGAAAATCTCCATTTTTATTAACTTAAAGGCAATTGATTTGGGATCTAATCATGTGAGTGATATCCACTCAAATGACAGGTTCCTCCTGCACTCAAAGCTCGGAGATGTCAAAAGGGTATAACACTAGAGGGCAGAGATAGAATTTTGTTTACAACAATGTTTATAACACACTTTGCTAGGTCCCAGAGTTGACGTCAGAAGACCAGGAAAAAACATTGTTGGAATTGTTTTCAAATAAATGGGGAACATATAATCGTGATTTTCGGGACACACAAAAAAAATGTTAAGAAAAAAATTCAGTAATAGGGCAGGGAAATTAGGCATAAACTGTCCCAAGGATAGGCAGTCTAAGGGCGTCTTTCTTATGAGCTCCGTGAAAAAGCAATGAGAATTGTATTCAAATAAAAGATCCAGAGGTCAAGGACAGTAGATGCATCCACTGCTGATGGAGGGGTCATTACTCCTTTATTCATCCAACTAGAAGGTGCCAAACAGGGTATGTTTGACTCTGGAGCAAGGAACAACGTATTTGGGATGACTTCACCACCTCTCTGCCCCATTGTAAATTACAGCAGGGAAGGAAGGCTGCCTATATGAGTCTCCACACTGCCCCCCAGTACCCAGCACAGCGCAGCACCCAATCCGCACATATTTGTTGAGTAAATGCTCAAGAAATAATTGTTTGATGCATGCAGTTAACACATGAAATAGCGCACTGAGAAATTATTTCTGCTCCAATTGCTCGATTATTCTGCTGATGTGTCTCCGCCAAATCCAAGCTCTCACCGGGGAGCAGTGTGTTCACTTAACCTGCTGTTTCATTTTTTTCTCGTAGTCCTTACACTATAAATGAAAGGATTTATCATATATCTTAAAGATTAACGTCTTCGCCCTATAAAACAATGTTATCTGCCCGACTCGGTTTTCTGCTTTCTCCCTCCAATTTCTCTCATCCTAGCGTTCTGGAGTGCGCACCAGGCATTGCGATTCCCGAGTTTCCGGCAGCTGCTGCACTGACTTATTCCGAAAGGCAATTCCAAATTCTGTGAACAGTCTTACTGCGGGGAAACTTCTGAGAGCCAGAGGCGAGGCGTCAGGGCCAGCGCTTTCCTGCAGTGAGTAAGCCGGGTTCCCACCCACTCGCATCTCACCAGTCCAGGACGCTCCAAGTATCCTCCTCGCCCCGCTCCGCCCCCGGAGCCGGTCCCCGAGGCTCCGCGTTTCCGCTGTACGGCGGGGCTGCCAAGATGGCGGCGCCCACGGGCCGTCACGCAGGGGCGCCGCCATCGCAGCCGCCGGACCAGCGGAGGCCGCGCTCTGGGTAGCCGCCATGTCGGTCTCCAGCTGCGGCCAGATTCTGACAAAGCCGGAGACCGTGGGCCGGAGGAGAAGTGCAGGAACGGCCGACGAGGGCAGACATCCATCGCAGATGGCTTTGTCCGAGCCCGGGGCTGGCGCCGCGGTGAGGGCTCTGATGAGGCGGGACGGTTCGGCGGTCAGAGGTGGTCTAAGTGGGCGGCAGTGATGGGAGGGTTATTGTAGTCTGTGACGATAGGTGATTTGGGAACTGGCGGAGTCGATGACAGAGGATCTTTTGGGAGGTCAGTATTCTGTGGGATCTGTGGGGTGGTGATGAGGGGAAGCGTGGGGGTCAGTGTTTTAGTTTTAGGAAGTCAGTGTCTTGAGGGATCTGCGGAGACAACGATGGGGGGGCATCTGTGGCCGTCGCTGAAAGTCAGGATTTGGAAGGCTATGAGGATCAGAAGTGGGCCTTTGAAACGTGTTGGAGATTGGGAAGGTCTGTGGGGGTCTGCGATTTGGGATGTCTATGGGTGCCTGTGGTGGTTAGAGACTGGATGTCAAAGAGGATCGGTGATGGCGATGTTTGTGGAAGTTTGGCAATGTCTTTGAGAGTCAGTGATTAGTGTGCCGTGATAAGTAATGGAAGAATATGGGGGTCAGTGGGGACATGGTGGTTGGTGGAATGTGGACAGTCAATGCTGAGGTGTCTCTGGGGGTGGTAGATGGTTTGTATGTCATCTGGAGAGAAAAGGTAATTGGGGGTTTATGCAGGTCAATAATTAAGTGGTGTCCAGGAGTCTTAACTGTGCTTTCAATGATGAGGTGATTAGTAGGAGTTAATGATTACAGGTCCTCTATGATTCTGTGACTAGGAGCCTGAGGGGGTCAGGAATTTGGGGGGATTGCAGGATTTAGTGATCGAGGGTTCCATAGGGGTCAGTGATTGGAAGTCTGTGGAAGCTAGTAATTGTTCTATGGAGAATGGTAGTTGGGAACTTGTAGGAATTGGGGGAAGTTTGTGAAGGTTAGTGATTGAGGAGCATTTGGGTGTCAGTGATTGGAAACTTGTAGGAACAGACAGACTGTAAGATAAGCACCTATTTTATGCCAGGGAGTGTTTTAAATGTTGGTGATACACTAGGAAATATAGCCAGAGTCCCTCTCTCAATGTCTTCACATTCTAGAAATAGGAAAAAGATAATAAAAATATGAACAAATAAAATAATTCCAGGCATTAGTAAGTGCTATGAAGAACGTAAAAGAGGATAATGTGGTAGAGAGAGATTGCAGGTAGAGTGGGTAGGCAGGTTAGTCATAGAAAGCCTTTCTGAGAAAATGACAGTTGGGTTGAGGCATAAATCACGATGAGGAGGCAGCCATGCAGAAATCTGAAGAGTGTTTCAAGAAAAAGGAACATCAACTGCAAAGGACCTGAGGTAGGAGTGAACCTGGTGTGCTTAAAAAAACAGAAGGAAGATGAGTGTAATTGGAGCATAGTCAGAGGGAAAGGAGAAAGATGTGAGATCAGAGTGGTAGGAGAGTATCAGATCATGCAGAATCTTATCGGCTAGGGTAGGGATTTGGATTTTATTCTAGTTGCAGTGAGAAACCATTGACTTTAAGCAGGGGAGTGGTCTGATCTGACTGATACTTTAAAAAGATTACCATGGCTACTCCATAGAAGATGGACTGCAGAGGGGCAAGAATAAGTGGAGGCAGGTCAGTTGAGAGTTTACTGCAATAGTCAAAAGCAAGGGATGATGATGGTTTAGAAGAGGCTCATAGCTGTGAAATGAAAAGAAATCAAATTCAGAATACATCTGGAGATGAGTCCAAAGGACTTACTGATGAGTTGATATGGAGCCTGAGGGAAGAGAAGAATCAAGATTTACATCTAGACTTTTGGCTGGAGGAGCTGGATGGATGGTGATCCCATTTTCTGAGAAAGGGTAGTGTTGGAGAAGACCAGGTTTGGTAGATGGAAATGGAATCCAGCTGGATGACAGTGGCTCTATTTTTGTCATGTCAAGATGCCCATTATACCTCCAACTAGAGATACTGAGTAACCATTATATATATGAATATATTAATATGGAACTTAGGAGAGGTCTGGGCCTGGGAACCATATTTGAAAGGCATCAGGATAAAAATGGCATTTAAGGCCATAAGATTGGCTGAGATCACCTAGGAAGAGAAGGCACACAGGGAAGAGAAATGGTCCAAGGACAGAGGCCTGAGTCAATCTGACACATAGAGGTCTGTTAGAGGGCAAAAAACAAGGAGAATGAGGAGTGACCACTGAGGTAAGAGAAAAACTGTGTAAGTATGGTATCAGAGAAGCCATACAGAAGAAAGCTTTTCAAGACAATGATAGTAATCATTTATGCCATGTGCTCTTTTGAGTCCCAAAGTATGACTAGAAAGTATTTAACTTTGCAAAGATAGAGCTCCTTCAATGGAAGGATGGGAGTAAAATCCTGTTGGAGTGAATTGAAAGAATGGGAGGTAATGAAGTGTAAGTATAGACAACACTTATGCAGAGTTTTGCTGGTAAAGGAAGCAGAGAAATGGACATTGGATAGGATATGAAATCAGGAGAAAGTTTTCTTCAGATGAATGATGTTAAGGCAACTTTGTATACTAATAGGAATGATTCAGTAGAAAGGGATAAATAGATGTTACAAAAGAGAAAGAGGTAATTGCAGGAGTGGAGTCCTTGGGAAGGTAGTTGTGGATGGGATCAAGAGCACAAATGGAGAAACTTAGGTGAGAGAAAAGAAGACTTTTTCCATTTTCAACAGAAGGGAAGGTGTATTATACATGGGTTTGTAAACAGGATGGTGGAATTAGTGGCAACAAGGCAAGATAATTTTTATCCATTTGCATTTATTTTCTCTTTAAAGTATAAGGCAAATTCATCAGCCCGAGTGTGGGAAAGGTGGAGATTACAGGTTGGAGATTTCAGAGAGAAAGAGGAGAAGGTTTGAAATGATCATATTGGAAAGAGGAAAGGTGAATTTTCCAGGGATAAGTAGTAGGATTGCTGACAGTATTCAATGCCCATTTGAGATATGTGTTATAAACTTAAAGTGCTAGTCAGCACAGTTTGATTTTTCTCTTGCAATGTTTAGCTTCAAGTTTGCAGGCAGGGATTAAGAAGAGAGTTGGGTTTAACCAAGGTTGAGGCTTTGATAGATGAATATGGCAGAGGAGAGGAGAGGCAAAGAAGTTAAAGGTTTAAAGTTTTCAATGGAATGTGTGTGGTACTAGACCAGGGAATCTAATCAAGAAAGGAAGCAAGCAAGGCTATGTGCAGGTGGAAGATTGTGAAAAAGTGGTTAGGATCAGTGGATCAGAGGGCTCAATGAGTTTGGAGAATTATTGGAGTGAAAGTACTAGAGAAAGTGAGCTGGCAGGATACAAAATGATGGTCAGAAAATAGAATATTTTAAGTCGAGACCACTAAGTGGTATAGTGATGGCAAGATGTAAGATGTGGATGAGCAATGAGTAGGTGGCTGAATCGGGGTGGAAGAAAAGATTGTTGGCACCAGGAAAGAGAAAACTGCTACTCTTAGGCCTGCTTGGAAAGTTGGACTTTTGCTGACATCTGTGAAATTAAATTTCAGGAGGGTTCCCACCATCCCCAGAACTGATAAGAGTGGCTCCCTGTGCCTAAAGTACATAAACAATGTGGTTTCTGCTGAATACCTGCTTTCCTTCTTGGAGTTGGAATTTTTGGTACATGCAAGCAGAGGTTGCCTACATGACCAGTCCCCAGTGAAACCCTTGGGCACTGAGTCTCTAATGAGCTTCCTTGGTAGATAACATTTCACATGTGTTGTCACAACATACTTCTGGAGGAATTAAGCATGTGCTGTGTGACTCCACTGGGAGAGGACTCTTGGATGCTTCTTCTTGGTTTCCTCTGGACTTCATCCCATGCTGATTCACTGATTTTGCTTTGTGTCTTTTGCTGTAATAAATCATAGCTGTGAATATAACTATATGCTGAGTCCTGTGAGTCTTCCTAGCACATCATCGGACTAAGGAGTGCTAATGGGTTAAAATCTGGTGACGCTCTAAACAAGCTAGGAGTTTTGAAAGAAGAATGAGAAATGGTTGAAAGTAATCATATATCCCATCTTTAGACACTAAGGTATATGCATCATGGGAAAAAAGAAAAAAAAGACAAATAACCTCCACTTGAGACTACTGTAAGGAAGCAGGATCTTCAGGAGACTGGTAGATTTTAGTTAAAGCATGCAAGAGAAGGGAATGGCTAAAGAGCTTTAGGGTGGAGTGGGGCTTGCTGACAATGATTAGTGTTTCTGTAAAGGCTACTGTTTGAGAGTTCTGTTGCTATCAGTGATTGGGGGTTGATAGGATGAGGAATTTGGGGTCATATGGGAGATAGAGGTTTGTGTGTCCTGTGGGTATCAACGGTCGAGGAACCAGTGGGTGCATGTGATTGGAGAGTCTCTGGGGAAAGTGATTGGGAAGATCTGCTGCTGCTAGTGATTGGGAGGTTTGTTGGAGTCAGTGATTTTGGAATTACAGGTTCAGTGATTAGGGAAGGCTGCACTGGCTCAGTGGTTGGGAGCCTAGTGACAATCAATGACGGGAGGTTATTGGAAGTCAGTGACTGGAGGTCTGCAGGGTTACATTGGTGACATATGTGGATAATTGACTCGTGGTCTGTGGGGTAAGGGATTATCTTTAAATGTTAGACAAGCACGTTTGAGTGTATATTTATTAATAACAAAATTCTCTAATAGCAGTGTCATCCTGCCCAATAAGAGAACTTTAACATGCTTTAATTTCTCCCCTACCCCAAACCCTTCCCTTTTATAGTTCTGCTTATTTTTCTTACACCATACCTCTTGATGTTAGGATACTTTCATAACAGTTGCACAAGCACATTACCAAGTTACTTAGCTTTGACTAGACATTTGACTGGTTTTGTTATTCATAGCTCTCTCTTGTATATTAAGTGTTTCCCAATTTTGAAATATTTATTCTGATCCACTTTTCCTTCTTTTAAAGAAATTTTTCTTTTCTTTTCTTCCTTTTCCTCCTCCTCCTTCCCTCCCTTCCCCTCTCTTCTCTCCTTCTTTATTTCTGAAGCATATAAGTAGTATACTTTCTGCATTGTTACATGCCTAAAATATCTTACTTTTGTTGCCAGACATAAATGATTTTTTGACGGGTTATGAAAACCAAGGGTCTCAATTCTTCTACCCCAGAACTCTGTAAACTGTGAATACTACTCCATAGCCTTTTAGTGTCCATTGCTGTGAAAGGAAAGATTCTGTTCCTCTCTTTTTTTGGTTAATCATCTTTCTTTCTAATGTTTGTATGATTTTATCCTCTTGAATAAACAAATTCACAATGGGGATATTTCCTTTTTTTTTGTTTTTGTTTTGTTTTCTTTTTCAGACAGAGTCTTTCTCTGTCTCCCGGGCTAGAGTGCCGTGGCGTTAGCCTAGTTCACAGCAACCTCAAACTCCTGGGCTCAAGGAATCCTCCTGCCTCAGCCTCCAGAGTAGCTGGGACTACAGGCATGCACCACTACATCCAGCTAATTTTTTCTATTTTTAGTAGAGATGGGGTGTCACTCTTGCTCAGGCTGGTCTCAAATGTCTGACCTCAAGCGATCCTCCCGCCTCAGCCTCCCAGGATGCTAGGGTTACAGGCATGAGCTACTGCACCTAGCTGAGATATTTCTTAATATGGTTTTTTTTCCCAAAAAATGCAAAATTGGGTAGAAAATAGGTATCCTGTGTAACATCATGATCAACAGTGAGTGGTCAAGGTAAGAACAAATGTCTTTTCCAAATCACTCACTGAACGTGGATAACATTAGACTAAACAGGAATATGATATTACAGGGATCAGTAACATTCAAAGATGTGACTATGGCCTTTACCCAGAAGGAATGGGAGCAACTGGATCCTGCTCAGAAGAACCTATACAAGGATGTGATGCTGGAGAACTACAGCAACCTAGCCTCAATGGGTAAGGATAATTCAAAATGTGTCCACTGTGATAATTATTCTCTGAAGTCCTTGATAAATTTGGCCTTGATTTTTATGAATCAAAGAGTTTTAATCCCTTTTGAGTATTAGGCAGGATATTTGTGCCCCTGCTTCTAAGACGAAAGATCTACTCAGTTGAGGTACGGGAGTATACGCATTGTGAAACTTCAGAAGTTGTGTATTCTTTAGCCTTTAAACGCCCTGAAGTTCAAATGCTAGAGCTTGATTTCTGGGAAGGTTGTTCTAACATTCAATTTCTACCATTTCTCCTGGGCAGGGTGTCAAGCTCCAAAACCAGACATGATCTCTAAGTTGGAAAAAGGAGAAGAGCCATGGTTGGGGAAGGAAAAAAGGCCCACTCAATGTCATTCAAATAAAATAGCAAGACCCAAGCAAACAGGAACCAATGGAAGTAAGTTTCTAGTTTCTTGGAGGTAACTTTAGAATTCTTCAAAGAATAATTTATGCTTAAATTCTTTTTTTTTTTTTTTTTTTGAGACAGGGTATCGCTCTGTTGTCTGGGCTAGAGTGCAGTGGTGTCGTCACAGCTCACCACAACCTCAAGCTCCTGGGCTCAAGGGATCCTCCTGCCTCAGCCTCCCAAAGTGTCTTAAATTCTTCTTACCAATCCTAGATCCTTCTTTCTTAACTAGGAAATAGCAATAGAAAAATATCAGCATCTCCCAGGGGAAAAAGAGTTCAAACTACAAAGATTCTCTAACATTAGAGATTCTAATATCTCTTCCTTCTGTGAACTTGTCTACATGAGAGGTTCTCATATGAGGTTCACTATAGTAGTGAGCCAGTGTTAATTAAGGGAGTGTGGTTATACCACTTGTATTGGTCAGCTTTGACTAAAGTTAGCTCTGAATGACCCCTAAATCTTAGTGACTTGCAACAAGAGAGTTTTATTTCTTGCTCAAGCTGAAGCCCTATCCCACATTATCTTTATTTGACTGTGTATGCTAAAAGAGCATTCTCCACTTGTCAAATTCTAGTTTTATGACAGAAGGAAAAAAGGATGAGTGGAACCATATAACTCTTAAAAATCACTGCATGGAAGTGTGGATATCCCTTTTAGCTCACATTTTATTGTTCAGACCAGGCCATCTGGCTACTCCTGAGTTTAACAGAGTAGGAATGTATAATCCTTCTGCAAGGAGGGGTGCTGCAATTCAAATGGCCATATATTTGGGAGAGGCTGAGAGGTGTAATCCTTCTACAGGGAATAATAATACAGTCTATTGCACTAGTCAGGTTGTGGTAGGAGAAAAGGTGAAAACCAGGGCTCTAAACCTTTGGTACCAGTCCCTCAGATGCCTAACTGACACCTCCTTATAGCCGCCTGTCCTTATTCATGTGCTCCACTGCTCAATTTTCATAAAGAGCAGTGACCTCTCTTAGCTTTTCTTTTAATCCCATTCCTGTTTACCTTATCTGAAGCAGTGCTTTTTGTTTTAATCCTCCCTTGTCCTAATATCCTCAGTTTTTCTCCTTTTCTACACTCATACTCCAAGACCCCGGGGTACCAAATTGTCTTCTATGTATTCAGACATTCTTAGATCTATCCTCTTTCCAGACCTCTTGGCATGATGCTCCTGCCTTGAATTACTTCTCATTTCCGTCCTTTCACTGTGAAATTCTCTGGACCCATGATCTATAACACGTCATCATTTCCATTTTCTCCTTTACCCCTGCAGTCAAATCCCACAGAATTTATGCCTCTCTGTAAATTTCTGACTTTAAAATCTCACTGCTTACCTTCCAATGCATACTTTAATAGTTTTGATTAGCCTGAAAGTGCTTGCCCACATAACTTGAATTGTACAACTTGAATCAGATCTTATCCTCTGTTTCTAAGCGCTTCTTTACCATTTACTCACCAGCTTCTCTTCCTTCTCACTTTGTTGAGGTATCCCTAAGGTTTTGTTTTCTACCGTCTGTTCTTTCTTTCTATTGTATTTCTCTCAAAGGGAATTATGCAATTAATTATTATTAATTATGCAAAGATAAGCTATTTATTTTATACTGATGACTTTTTATGTCAGAATATTACAGGGTTACAAACATTTAGGTTACATACATTGCCTTTGCACTGCCCAAGTCAGAGCTGCAAGTGTGCTTATCCCCCAGACAGTATGCCCCACAACCATTAGGTGTGAATATACCCATCCTCTCCTCCCCCCACCTGCCTGACACCTGATGAATGTTACTTCTATATGTGCACATAAGTGTTGATCAATTAGTACCAATCTGATGAAACCAGAGAAGACCCCATATAGCTATTTGCAACCTTAAGCAAAAAAAAACAGATTGGGAGGTATCCATTATAACCAAAGGGCATATATTTCAGCCAAACCTCACCAGGGACTAGAACCAGGAACTGGGATGCCATTGGGAACTATGCAAATGATCTCTTTGAGGACACACAGTCTTATATTTCTCTTTCTTCTCTTTCTTCTGTTTCTTCTGTTTGTTTCATTCTCTGGACCAATGAGCTTTCTCTTTACACAAGAAAAATATGGCTTTATTATTAATAGTACCTGTTTTATATTATTTTTGAATTTAAGCACTGAGTGTAGACTAACTAGAGTCTAAATTTTTAGGAGGAAGAATCTTATTGGACATCTTGGTTTCAGCCAGATGTGCCTCCAACTGTGACCATGGATAGTTGGAGTAATACAGTATAGTCTGCAGTAGACAAATACTATGGGCAGGTTGGCAATTATCAGAGTTGGGCAGCTTGGGTTGAGGAGAAACCTCAAAAAGTGTTAACTGCAATAATATCCTCTTTTGACTTCAAATGTTCTCTTCACTGCTCTTTGTGTTTATTTCATCTTCTATTCCAGGTTGCAAATTCATATTTTTAAATAACCAACGCTGTTGTCAATTTTCTTTCCCTCTTTTTACTATAGCATTTTTCCCATCAAGTTTAAGGGGATAGGATCATTTGCTATTGACATTTCATTCATTTTGGGATACTAGGCTTGAATAAAGATTCAACCCCACAATAGGTCATTTCTTTATAAGTTTTATTCCAACAGGTGAGAGTATAAAAATTCACAAGAATGTCTCATTTAATTCCATTTTAGAAGAAGTCCAGCAAGATGATGATCAGCTTGAGAGTAACCAGAAATCTCGAAACAAACTCCTTAGGGAAGTTGCAGTCAAGAAGAAAACTCTGACTAAGAAGAAAAGTAGTGAGTGTGGTTCATTGGGGAAAAAAAATAACATGAGTACAAAATGTGTTTCTTCAAAAAAACGGCTTCTTAAATTTGATTCATGTGGAAAGAGTTTGAAACAGAATGTAGACTTACCTGATCATACAAGAAACTGTGCAAAAAAGAAATCTGATACAGCTAAAGAACACAGGAAGTCATTCAGCTGTAATTTATCTGATACACAGAAAATCAAAAAACAAACTGGAAAGAAACGTGAGAAATTATCCAACCGTAAGTCATCTGGTAAGTGTGAAAAAACTAAAACTGGCAAGAAACATGAGAAATTATGCCATCATAGCCCATCCCGTGCTAAGCGGGACAAAATTGAAACTGGAGAGAAACATGCGAAATCATCCAAGCTTAGCTCATCTACTAAGCACGACAAAACTGAGGCTTCTGTGAAGCCCTATGAATGTAATCAATGTGGGAAAGTTCTCAGCCATAAACAAGGACTCATTGACCATCAGAGAATTCATACTGGGGAGAAACCATATGAATGTAATGAATGTGGGATAGCCTTTAGCCAAAAGTCACACCTTGTTGTACATCAGAGAACTCACACTGGAGAAAAACCATATGAATGTATTCAGTGTGGCAAAGCCCATGGTCATAAACATGCTCTCACTGATCATCTAAGAATTCATACTGGTGAAAAGCCCTATGAATGTACTGAATGTGGGAAAACCTTCAGACACAGCTCAAACCTTATGCAACATGTGAGATCTCATACAGGTGAGAAGCCCTATGAATGTAAGGAATGTGGAAAATCCTTTAGGTATAACTCCTCTCTTACTGAACATGTAAGAACTCATACAGGTGAAATACCATATGAATGCAATGAATGTGGAAAAGCCTTTAAGTATAGCTCATCTCTTACTAAACATATGAGAATTCATACGGGTGAGAAACCTTTTGAATGTGATGAATGTGGAAAAGCTTTCAGCAAGAAATCACACCTCATTATACATCAAAGAACTCATACTAAGGAGAAACCTTATAAATGTAATGAATGTGGAAAAGCCTTTGGACATAGCTCATCACTTACTTACCATATGAGAACTCACACAGGTGAAAGTCCCTTTGAATGTAATCAATGTGGAAAGGGCTTTAAACAAATCGAAGGCCTTACTCAACATCAGAGAGTTCATACTGGGGAAAAACCCTATGAGTGTAAGGAGTGTGGGAAATCCTTCAGCCAAAAGTCACACCTCATTGTACATCAAAGAACTCATACTGGCGAGAAACCATATGAGTGTAATGAATGTGGAAAAGCCTTCAATGCAAAGTCACAACTTGTTATACATCAGAGATCTCACACTGGAGAAAAACCCTATGAATGTAATGAATGTGGGAAAGCCTTCAAACAAAATGCATCCCTTACCAAACATGTGAAAACTCATTCAGAAGAGAAATCTCATGAGAGAAATTAATGTGAGAAATCTGCTAACTAAACTTAAAGTTTTGTTTAACTTTGGAAATATTCTGAATTTAAAGAATGTCAGAAAGCCTTTAACAAGAAGTCACACCTTGTAACATATGAGAAAATTTGAAAATGGATCTTCACATAGAAGTGATGGATGGAAACAAGGGTTTAAACTTGATATTAAAACTTTTATAGAAAATAATGTTTTGAAAATGCTCAATTATTTAAATGTTCTACATGTTCAGATTGATGTATAAAGCTTCAAAATGTTGTCAATAAGTTGAATAATCAGAGCAATGGAGGAATAAGTTACATATGCTGAACAATTCCCAAGTTGCCTGTGTGTTACGTACTTAAGCACCATGTTTTAGAATTGAATTTGTGTATCTCTTTTTTGCCTTGCATAAATGAGTGTGACCATTTGTATATGTTGCCTCTTTGATATTATGTCCCAGCTCTTTCTTAATTCTATGTTAGCTTCTGCATCAGCAGAAATCTTTATAAAAGTGTTATTTATGTAAGAAATGTTAACAGAAAATTGAGAAAAAAATGAAAGAAAGCAGCTGTGGATACAAATGTGCTGGTAGGGAATGATGTCCAACATATACTGTGATGTATAAAGAAGCAAGTTGCTTAAACATGTATAATAGTATGTTCCCATTTGTGTACAAAAAGTTGTGTTTACCTGTCTCTCTGTGTCTCTTTCTCTGTGTATGTATGTATGTATATATCCATAAATTGTTATGTTAATAGGCCTTCAAATATACAGAAGAAACTTAATGGTGGTTGCCTTTTGGCACAGGAGTACAAGATTGGGGTCTGGGATGAGAGCAAGACTTCCTTTTATTGTATACTGTTTGAATATTTTATCATATATGTGTATTATTTTTATAATTAAAATACTTTTAATATGCATAAATGAACACTTAAGATTGTCATTGAGCCCCTTCCACAATGTTTTATGATGAAGTTTAAAGTCTCTTTGTTTATTTATGAATGATGATGAATCTGAGGTATATAGTATTAAACTTGGTATTGAATCACAAAGACTTTTCCTATCACACACAGCTCTTTCATTAACATAATGAATTAAAACTGTAACAGCACTGTGTTTCATCCATTTGCCATTTTTTAGGACTGATGGTAAATTCTGATCACAAGCAAATGAAAATGATTGTCTAAACATTCTCTCCATTCTACCTCCTATTTAAAGCTCCAACACACAAACACCTCAGTCAGGGAGTTCAAATGTATTGTAACAAATGTCACTCCTCCCTGTTCTTGCCAATAGTAGACAATTTTAATAGATCATTGCAGTCTTTTTTAGTGAACCCAGAGTTGGCCTCCAAATCATTCTTAAGCACGTATTCTGGAAGCTTCTGTGAATCAATTTGGACTTGTGTGGGAAAACTTTTGCCATTGCATACCTAGATTTCATGTTTTACTCTTGAGCTGTATGTAGATAAAAAATACATCTGAAGAGTGCTAAAATTTAAGTCGTTACACTAAAAACAGATAAAAGTACAAAAATGGCTTTGTAAATCATTCTACTAATATTTTAATACAATATTGATTATGTAATTAATATAAGATTTATAATAATATGTGATATGTGTGTTATTTTTTCACAGCACATTAGCTACATTATCTCGCTTATTCCTCAAATTTAAAATATGAGTCAGTAATCAGGACTTTAGGTCTAGTAATGTTCAATTCTGTTCAATAAATATTTTACTGAGGTAGTAATTTAGTAATAATGATGAGCCCTAAACAAATATGTGATTAAAAGTCATCTTTGAAAATATTTTCCATTCAAATTCCTTCCTTCCTGACCTCATTTCAGAGAATTATAAAATGTAAATATTATATTGAGAATGGAATGTGTGTTCATATGTGTGCATAAGTGTGCACATGCATGGGTTGAAAGATCAATTCATGAACATTATGCCCTCATTTCCAAGTAACTTATTTACTCTCATGGGAAGAAAATGCAATATGAAATCCATTTCCATCAGTAATTTCTTACCAAGTGGAATTCTGGCACTATGTACAGAATAAGTCATCACCATACAGAGATGTAGAAAACCTGCACTTTTTAGAAGGGTAAAACAGTTGCAGGATATAGCTATATTGAATTTTTATTTCTCTTGGAGTACTCATAGTAGTGCCATACCTGGGACAGGCAGAAATGTATGTATGCTTGAATAGTAAAAATGAATGCTGAAAGCCATTTAGTGCAGTAAAAAATGATTTAAAAGTTAGCATTTATGAATGAGAAAATGATGTCTAAAAATTATTGGAGGTGAGTAGTGAAAGAAAATAGACACACAGAGATGAGTCTAAATCGATGATACACAAACATTAGTGTTGGTCAAAACTGCCTTAAGAATTTGTTAAAACACAGACTTTGGAAATGCAAATTTGGAGGCCTGCCACAGACTTATTGAATCAGCAACTCTGTAGGTGGGACCCAAAAATTTGCATTTTTAATAAGTTTCCAGGGGATGTTCGGGCTGCTGGTTTGGGGCCAACACTTTTGAGAACCACTGATCTAAATCACTGTGTAACTACATTTTAAAAATTTTAAACTGTTTTTGATGTCTTGTTCACTATAAAGAAATGAAGGGACATATATCCATAAAGTAAATTATTATCACTTATTATTCAATACTGATTTTCTATATGCTAGGCACTTTTCTAAGTATTTGAGACACAGCAGTCAACAAAACAAGAAGAAAGAAAAAAAACCCTGTCCTCGTAGATTCTTAACCTTTATAGTAAAGGAAGGAAAGAGACAGGGGCATTAAAAATGGGTGTTGTGCTAACCAATCTATAACATGTAAAATAATTACTAAATGAAAAACAGATTACAAAGTTGTTCATACATTAAGATCTCATATATGTATATTGATTATACACACAAATACATATGCTGGAAAATGCATATCATCATCATTATGTGCACGTTAATTTTTTATAATGGCTCTCCATTTCTGGTATGGCCAAGAAGATTCCTACTGAGACTGGCCCTCTCACCGGTAACACTTACAAACTCTGGGCAAAACACACACATACACACCAATGACCCAAAGGTACTGGAGAGTGAACAAAAGCAGGCAAATTATGTGAAATAGTTGAAACTTGGTAGAAGGGAATGGTAGGGCGTTAGATCACGTTTTTATGACTTTTAGCCTGAGGACAGAATGAAGTTAATGTGACAGAGAAGGATAATTTGATAGAAAAACGTCTTTTTGATATGAAAAACCATAGGATGAAGTTCAGGGCAACCGCAGTCACTGGAAAGTGAGGGGAAAGTCCCAGAAAGGAGACTCAAAGAGTGGACAATCCAAATTCTGTCCATTAACTCCACCCAAGTCTCTGTCTGAAACATGACAATGCATGCATAGCATAGACCAAGGACAAAAGAACTGAACTTTCATTTGTGCTACTAACCGAAAGACAGAGTTTGAAGTTTGAGTTCAATCAAGTTAATTGCTTAATAATACAAAAACATTAGCATTCTGCAGAGGAGAATACAGAGTCTGGAATCTCCACAATTTACCATTCATGATATCTAAATAAATAAAAATTGCATGACATTGGAAGACTGAAAATACACTGTCTGAAATTTAAAAAAAATTTTTTTTTTAGATGGAGTCTCACTCTGTCTCCTGGGCTAGAGTGCCATGGCATCAGCCTAGCTCACAACAACCTCAAACTCCTGGGCTCAGGCAATCCTCCTACCTCAGCCTCCTGAATAGCTGGGATTACAGGCGTGCAACACCATGCCTGGCTAATTTTTCTATTTTTAGTAGAGATAGGGTCTTGCTCTTGTTTATGCTGGTCTCGACCTCCTGACCTCAAGCAGTCCTCCCGCTTAGCCTCCCAGAGTGCTAGGATTACAGGGGTGACCCACCATGCCCAGCCTGAGATTGAAATTTTGCTGCATAAATTTACCAGTAGAATGGAAATGACAAGGAAAAGAGTAAGCAAATTTGAAATAGATCAATAGAAATTATCCAAACAAGTGAAAGAAAAATGATTGAAAAGAAATGAACAAAACCTCAGTTACCTGTGGGATAATAAAGTGTCTTACATATGTGTAATTGGAATCCCATAAAGAAAGAATGAGACACACAAAATATTTTAAGATATAAGGCTGAAATTTCCTGAAATTTGGCGAATAATATAAATGTACAGATTTAAGAATCTTAGAAAACTCCAAGCAGGATAAATGTGAAGAAAACCATAAGGTGTATCCTAGTTAATCTGCTGAAACACAAAGATAAGAAAATCTTCAAACCCAGGGGAAAATGACATATTACATGTATTTAAAAACACAATGAGAATTACTGATGACATCATCAAAGACTACAAAGGCCAGAAGATGGAGTGGATCCATATCATTAGAGTGCTGTAGGAAAAAACAGAACAAAAAAACTTTTAGCCTCAAATTCTATATCTGGAAAAAATATTATTCAAGAATGAAGGTGAAATAATGACCTTTTCAGATAAAGGAAAACTAAGACAATTTATCCTCAGAAGACTATAAAGTTCTTCGGGTTGTAGGAAAATGATACCAGATGAAAATTCAGTTCTTCTGATAGCAATGAAGGGCATCAGAAATGATATATATGTGGGTAGCTATAAAAGATGGTTTTTACCTTTTAAATTCTTTAAAATACTTCAAAACTTATAATGTTTTCTTATGTGGATTATAAGGTATTTAGATGCAATACATATGACAACTCTAGCATAAAGAAAGCAGGACAGACTTATATTGTAGCAAATTTTCTAAATTTTATGTGATATGGTACAATGTTAACTTCATGTAGACTGTGAAAGTCAAGGGTATGTAGAGCAATCCATAGAGAAACCACTAAAGAGTAATGCAAAATGGTACAGCCAAAACCACAACACATACATTAAAATAAACTTCTAAAAAATATTCAAAAACTCCTAATGGAGTTAGGAAGGGAGATAGAGAGAAACAAATTCAAAGGGGATAAACAATACAACTAATATACTAGACCTAAATCTAACCCTAATGATAATTACATTAAAAGAAAATGATCCAATTAAAGATTGGAATTAAAAAGCAGATTCCAATTAAAAAGCAGAGATTTTCATATTGGATAAAAAGCAAGACCCAATCTCTACAGGATTCAGACTTAAATTAAAAAGACACAAATAAGTTCAAAGTAAATAGATTGAAAAAGATACACCATTGAAATAGTGAGCATAAGATAGCTGAAATGTTTACATTAATATCAGACAAAATGAACTTCTTGATGAAGAATATTAACAGAGATAAAGAGGGATGATTTCCGCCAGGCATGGTGGTTCACAGCTGTAATCCTAACACTTTCGGAGTTATTAGTGGAGACAAACAAATCATATCTGGGTTGGAGGTATCAGATATTTATTAGAGATCAACACCTATGAAAAGAATGGGAAGAAGCAGGAATGCACAAAGAAGTTGAAATACATTGCAGGCCCTACAAAGCCCTTACCATTCTGGTAAGGAGCTCTGGAGTAAGTGTTTTCACCAACTGAGTATTCTGCATTGGGCCTTTTTACCTCCAACTTTCTTATTCACCAGATGTAGACTGTCCTGCAAAGGTCATGACCTTGGGTGAGGCAGGTCTCTGTAGCTGAGGCCCACCCTGAAGTAGCTGAAAATTAGAATTATCTTCTGATTGCACTCCCCACACTCCAATCTAGGCAGCAAATCCTTCCTTGAAAGAAAATCTGAGCATGCAACTCTTTGTCTATCATGCTCCATCCCTTGCTCTGCTGAGATATATTAATGGTTATCCATATATATCTGGGAAGTGCTTCCTCCAGGATGTCTGTGTGCCTCTCTGCCTGAGGAGGAATTGGAATAGAGGGATTAGTGAGATAAACCACAGCCCCTGCT